TGCCTGCATTATATGGGTGTGTTATATGAGATGTAAGTTGTTAAGTGCTGCAAGTGGACTACTACTCATTGTGACTTCATGAACAACAGACCTGAACCTTGCCCTATCCTATGCCATTCTCTCAATCTCTGATATGTTTGAGCTCATTGTTACAGTCTCTGTATCAGTCCACCCTGTTGAAGCTCTTTGTCTCAGTCCCTGACCCTCCTCCCTTCCCAGTATGATACATTTTCCCATGAACTGACTCCTGACAGCCTACCCCAAAAATGTGAGATGAAGTTTCACCATCCTTGCCTCCAAGGATGTTGCATTTCTTCCAAGACAGATTTGTTTGTTTATTGGCAGTCCATGGGATAGTCAGTGCCCTTCTCCATCACTACAATTTAAAGGCATTAATTCTTCTTTTGCCATCCTTATCATTGTCCAACTTACAGAGACATAGGAAGTAGTTGAAAAGATCATGGCTTGGATCAGGCACATGTTAGACTTTAAACTGATGCTGTTATACACCATCAAGTAGGAATTCACCCATAGCTGACCCTCTGGTGGATTTTTAGCAACTGTTAGATGCACAGGAGATTTCCTATCTTTCTTCTGTGGTGCAGCTGGTGAATTCAAACCATCTGCTTTTGGGTTAACTTTAAAATTCCTTACCCGCTAGGACACCAGAGCTCACTAATAGGCACATATTCAATGCAAAAAAAAAAGAAGATCCAGTGCATGGTATTTTCAGTGACTTCATATGCAGAGGGAGGCTGGAATACTAATAAAAAAAATGGAAGAATTGATGCTTTTGAGTTATTGCATTGATAACAAAGATTCCGTATACTGTGGACTGCCAGAAGAACAAATTTGTCATGTAAGAAATCCAACCAGACTGCCCCATAGAAAGTAGGGTTTTTATCTCACTTACTTTGGACAAGTTACCAGGAAGGACCAGCCTCTGGAGAAATATATCACGCCTGGTAGAAGGTCAGTGAAAAAGAGGAAAACCCTCAAGGAAATGGTTTGACCTTAGTAACTGTTAACAGTGGGCCTGAAACATAGTAATGTTTATGAGATTGATGCAGGACTTGGCATTTCCTTTGTTGTGCTCGGGGTCACTCTAAGTCAAAACTGTTTCTGTGGTGCTTGAAAACAACAACAATGCAAAGTTAGGGACCACAGCCTGTGAGAAGTGGGGCGTCCAGTCACCTGGAGCTGATCTGCAGAGCGCCTTGACTTGAAGGAAGTACAACCAGAGTAGAGTGCTCCTTAGAGGCAGGCTTGCATGGTAAAACTTCATCTCACTTACTTTGGGCGTATTTTCAGGAGGGACCAGTCCTTGGAGAGAGACATCATGCTGGGAAAGGTAGAAGGTCAGCAGAAGACAAGATCACCCTTAATGAGACCGTTTGACACAGTGACTACCACAGTGGCCTTGGGTAGGACAGATCGTGAGGGTGCTATGAGAAGGGCCAGATTCAGATCTGTCCTTCACAGGGTCACTGTGAGTCATGGTCAACTCAAGGTCACCTACAAGGACGACAACAATTGCTCTGGCCCTGCCTTGGCCAATTGGTCTCCTGCTTCTCTCCAGCCTCAATGGCTGTATTTTCTAGAACAGACCTAGGGTACCTGCCTCAGGGCCTCAGTGGATATTGTTCATTGTGTCGACAGTCCTCCTCTTACTCTGTCCATGCTTGCTTCCTTCACACTCTTCAGGACTCGGCTTAAATGTCACCTCCTCAGAGGCGTCCCCTCAACACTTCTCCTGAGTGAGTTCCCCACAGCACTCCCAGTTTTGTTCTTGCCTACTGCTGTGCCTCTTAGGGAGCTCTAGTGGCCTTGTGGGTAAGGAATTGCACCGCCAGTTCAAATGCAGGTGGTTCAAATGCACCAGCTGCTCTGAGAGAGGAAGATGAGCAGTGTTTCCCATGTGATTTACAGCCTCTGAAAACATGCTGGAGGGTCAGCTATGAGTTGGTTCCAAGTCCACAGCAATGATGTTGGCTGGATGTCTTTGAATGGTAGGGACCAAAGCACCCCCTTTGTTATCTGGGCTTTAACAGCCGCATTGCATTGCTGTATAGAAGAGACTCTGAAAATGTTGTACGGTCTAGTATCTACCTTGTGACTGCTCTTATAATGAGAGATCTACAGATATTAATTAATTGAGTTCTCAAGATAAACCTGCCCATCTCCAAACACCATGCTTTCCCCCTTCTCCATCAAGCTGTGAGTTGGATAGGATTGTCCTTTGGACAACATTATATCAGATATAACCAAATGTTATAAAAATTAGACAGCCTACATTAATTCTCTCAGAGTTAGACAAATGGACTGTCTCTCTCTGGTTCACCTCCTTTAAGGTAAAGACAGCATCATGAGTCCCGAGAGGACCAGAGACTTGTCCACGGTGACAGGATGGTGAATGACTGCGCAGTCTGAGAACACAGGGGATGCTGAATCCCAGCCCTGAGTCCCTTCAAACATGTCACCGAAGGAAATGAACTCATAAGGTCTACAGTGTAGAGACTTACTCTCTCGAATTTCTTAGTTTCAATGTGGACCCTGGAAGCTATAACTTTCCCCTGCTGCTTTGTGGCTTTGCAGTAGCCAGAAAGCAGATGGGCACAGCTTCTGATTAGATTGTAAGAGTTTCTCAGTGGCATTGGCCTCCAACAGGGTGTGGCATGAGGGTCAGAGAAATGACCTTGCCTCTATCCTGCACACCTCCCAGTTCGGTGACACTCAAGTTGAGGTGGACTAGTTCCTTGCCCATCACCAAAATGACTTTTTAAAAGAAGAGACAGAGGCCCAGGGAGTAGTACTGGGAATTACAGTAACTACTCACTCTTGCTCAGGGCTTCCTGGGGGGTCTCAGGGGCTGGCTTGCTTGGAGATGGCTAACTTGTCCTTCCTCAGCCTGCCAAAATGAGCAATCATTGGAAAAGAGGTCCATTTTT